TGATATATAGAATTTTGGTAATTGAAAAGAACATGGACATCTGGATTATTAGAGACCGGCAAAGTTTTAGAAAATCCACTTAGTCATTGTTTCAGAAATTGAAGCAACCAACATTTAATCCTGTTGTATCAAAAACTCGAGCATTCAGCTCTAGATAACGTTCAAATATATTTTTTTAACTGTATTGTGATTGTTCTCTGGTGTTAAATTGTTTATTTCTAAGAGCATGAGATATACCGTATATATTATATTTGTCTAGCTGTTTCTGATGCCTTCTTTTCAGGGACAGTCCAAGGTTTTGAAGCTTTGCTCTAAGGAATTATCTTTGCGGGATTTAAGTCTGACAAAGTACCCATCAGGGCTTTGACTTGGATGCTGAATGGAATTGTTATTGTCTCCTCTTACTTTGGTGTAAATGATTAAGGGGCTTAGAAGAGAGAGTTGCACAATGGTAATGTTAGGGGCTGTTCAGAATAAAGGCACAGTTATGCATGGTGTATTCATTGTGTGGCCAAGACCACAGGCACAAGCATGTCCTAGTCATTGCCTAGGCATGGCATGTAAACATTCCTGTGCTCTTGATAGTAGATCTCGAAACTGACACCTGTTTTTGGTTCGGTAGGTACACATCATTAGGTCCCCATGCTAAAAAAATGAGCACGTACTTCTTTGAAGTGAACACAGCATCTGTAACGAATGGTAATTCACACATAGGCACAATTTATAGCTTACACCTAAAGCACATGGAAGAGGTCTGTAATAGAATTTTCATCAGTACAGGCCAGACCTAAGTGCTTTGGTTCTGTGCATCTTTAGAAAATCACAAATGCTGTACAGGTATGTATGTACCCTTGGGGATGAAGTGAAGTGACCTATTAAAGTCCATTGCAAATGACTTCCCTATTATGTTAATAACACTTGTGCAACTTGTTGATTGGAGCTATTTTGTATTTGCAAAGTTAAATGGTTTTATATAAGAAATGACTCCAGTTGAAGAAGGAAAGTATTGAGTATCCCGATACTGTTTTAGTTTTTTTCTCATATATTAAAGATTAGCAGTTTAAATTGAAACAATGGTTTTGCTCTCCTACTTCAAGCATAAACGTTTCATTATTTTAGAGTGTCAGTGGTGTAGATTTACCAAAACTGCCAAAACTGGAGAGTGCAAAATCTGGTGCAGCTCTGCACAGAAACCAATCAGCTTCCAGGTTTTATTGTCAAAGCTTAGCTGAACAAGGTGAAGTTAGAAGCTGATTGGCTACCATGCCCGGCTGCACCAGTATTTGCACTCTCCAGTTTTAGTAAACCAACCCCACTGTATATGAAAGTATAAGTAAAAATCATTTAAGTTATATAGTTACATAGTTACTCTGGATGAAAAAAGACAAAAGTCCTCCAGTTCAACCAAAAAAACAAGTTATAATACTATACCCACAGTTGATCAAGAGGAAGGAATATGTCAGTTAATAACATGATAGATTTCCCTTGCATCCCATGCGTCTCATTGTTGCACGTTGAGTATTATTTGGATTTGAAGAGTTTCTAATCCTCTATGACACAACTTAAAGTGAAATGATTTGATGCCTCAAGTGAAATATCCCAGTTCCAGAATGCAAAATTCAAGGGTCAATACAGTGAATGAGGATTTCTGATTGATTGTGCTTCTTCTTATTAAATATGTATGATAGGCAAAGTGCAAAGTAAAATGGCTTTGTAAAGTGCATTTCTTTATAGCAAACAGCTGCGCTTCTTCTGTTACATATTTGGTTGCAGTACAATGAAACTTGATTGGTTGCTTTGTGTTACTGTGTCTTGCACATAGTTACTGCTTTTGACCTGTTTATTAAATATGTATATTAAGCCTAACTTTTATATTGCACATCTCACCAAAATGGTCTGTTCTTGCTAACATATTAAATATATAGTAATGTTCTGTTTGAAAGTCACCGTGGCATAAAAAGGAAAACACACTTGGGTTGATTTACTGAAACTGGAGAGTGCAAAATCTGGTGCAGCTCTGCATATGAAACCAATCTGCTTCCAGTTTTTTTTTTTTGTCAAAGCTTAATTGAACAAGCTGAAGTCAGACAATGATTGGCTACCATGCACAGCTACACCAGATTTTTCACTCTCCAGTCTTAGTAAATCAACCCACTGTATATGAAAGAACAAGTAAATATCATATAAGTTAATGACATGATAGATTTCCCTTGCATCTCATGCATAAAAAGAGTTCAAAAGATGTTGACTATCTCATCATTGTACATGGCTTACACCAGGGATGGGCAACTGTGGTCCTCCAGCTGTTGTAGAACTACAAGTCCCATGAGTCATTGCAAAACTGACAGTTACAAGCATGACTCCCAAAGGCAGAGGCATGATGGGACATGTAGTTCACCAACAGCTGGAGGGCCACAGTTGCCCACCCCTGGCTTACACTCATCAATCTGTGTTTGTGTGGATTAGAAATTTGATCATATTTTCTTATTTAACCAGCAGGGGGAGCATTTGTTATCTGCAAACCATATACATGCACTTGTCAGCTTAGGCAGAGCAGATGATTCTATACACAAAGGGTAAAGATGTAAACACTAGAAACATGAGGGGATCATGTTTTATAATACACATAAAACATTTTTTTCCCGTTCAGTAAGACTACATTTGTGTAAATATATGACTAGTAAACATTTATACGTAGTGCATACTATACCCTGTTTTGCAGATGGCAATAGTCTATTAATTTTATTTCATTTGTTTTTATATGATACTGCAATTTGGATTTAAACATGACTGTATGGATACTGTTGAAAAATGCTGATCTATTGGCATATACTTTTGGAAAAAGGAAACCCTTGTGAATCCCAAGGTTTAAAAAAATGGCATTACCCTGCTGTTGTCATTTGTAGCTGCTGACTGCAATTCATACAATTAAAGGTATTTTGATTTTATTAGAAAAGCATTGTTATATATTTTTATCACCCATCACAAAAAAGGTCCAAGCCAAACATTAACATAGTACAAATATGTACATTAATAATTATAATGAAATAAATAAACAAACAAGCACAGGCACAATAATAAAGAATATTGCATGCTATCCATAAACTGAGAAAAATAACAAAGTGTTTTCTAAAATAGAGTATTGTACCTTGTAATTTACATGTAAAATTCACTCATGTATAGTGGGAGGTAGTTTAAAGGGAACATGTCATGCAACAGGAGGGCATATAGCCTAGGCTTCATGGCTTACAGTATTTCTCCCAGCTTGGATAAACCCTTACAGATGTATATCATTGTATCTGACTTTCTGCCCTTTATAATGGCACCAGGCAGGCGATGTTGCAGTGAAACTGAGTATTTTGAGCCCATTAAATAGTATATATCTAACTCTTACAGAAATACATTTCTACATACAGCTGTGTGTGTGTATATATATATATATATATATATATATATATATATATTTATTTATTTATTTTAGATTGTAAGGTCTAAGGAGCAAGACCCTCTGATTCATCCTATATTGAATGGTATTGTAACTGTACTGTTTGACCTCACATTGATTACTAAGTACTTAACTAAGTATACCCATCTATATTACTAGGTCTGCTGGAAACAAAGTATGTTGATAACATATTCACTTTAAACAGGGTATACTTCAAGATTGGCATTGAAAATCAGGGCTGTAGCTGAATAGATCAGTAATAGTTATGCCACAGGCATTCACACACATTTAGTGGTATGACTAGCTTGGTATAACAAGTATGACATTGCAGAGGGTATATAAGGCAAGCTGAGATTGCGCCTCCTCCAATTAACTAGTGTAAAGTATTTTGCTGCAAAGCACATCTGTCTACAATAAAAATGTTGTAAGCCATATAATGGGTGGTTTATTATAGTATGTAGAGGATGTCACTTTGCAAAGTAAATGTTTAAATAGCAAAAATAAAGCCATACCAAGTGATTACAACATATAAGATAAAAAAATGTGCACAAACAGCTGTACTCACTGACACCCGGATACATACATGTCAGAAACTATATATAAAAAATGTGTTACACTTTTTGCTCTTTTCTTTAACAAATACAACTAATAATTCATCATTCCAAAGTAAATATAATCACATGTATAATTTGTACAATCCTATAAAATATTTATTGGTATAAAAATGACATAAAAAGCACCCATCATGTGAACAACAAGTATTGTCTTCAATGTCACAATTACTCCACTGCGCCTGTGTGCCAACAGTGCCAAAACAAAATCAAGTCCTCCCCACAAGGTCACTTACAAGAAGCCTAGATCTTACTGCATAAAAGGTCTCACAGTGCTTTATAAGGAAAAACATTTAGATTCCTGAACGATGGATGGATTTCTCCCTCATCTCAAATGTCAATGATAGCTTGCAATATGGCTCAATCGCACATATAGAGGAAGCACAAGAGAAACAGTATAGCTTAGTAACCCTAGGACAGCATTTATTAAAAAAGAAAATCAGGTATTCAGAACATTGGCAAGATTCAAACAGATCGCAAGACAGCCACCCATCTGAGTAGACGTGATGATGTCACAGCTAAACTCCGCCCAATGCGTTTCAGCTCAAAGGATGTTGTCCAGGGACCAGAGAGTAGGGGCCCTGGATAGCAACCCTTGATTGGGATTTTTATGTCACTTTTATGCCATTTAATATTTTATAGGTTTGGACAAATTGTACATGAATATAAGAAGGTAAATCCTCTGCAGAGGAATGAAAAAAAAAACAGGATTTTGCCTTGATTGGATGATGGAAGTGAACATTCACTTTATCAGCTAATAATTATGTGGTATTTTAGTAAATCAAAAACCATAGTATAATGAATTATTTTACAAAATTGAGGCATTTGCCTGTTAAAAATGCAAAGAAATTACCGTATTTTTTGCTCCATAAGACACACCTGACCATAAGACGCACCTAGATTTTAGAGGCGAAAAACTAGAAAAAAAATATTCTGAACCAATGGACTGCAGACATGGTACAGGAGATGACCAGAGACTGCGGACATAGTACAGGAGATGACCAGAGACTGCAGACATAGTACAGGAGATGACCAGAGACTGCGGACATAGTACAGGAGATGACCAGAGACTGCGGACATACTACAGGAGATAACCAGAGATTGCAGACAGTACAGGAGATGACCAGAGACTGCGGACACAGTACAGGAGATGACCAGAGACTGCGGACACAGTACAGGAGATGACCAGAGACTGCTGACATAGTACAGGGGATGACCAGAGACTGAGGACATAGTACAGGGGATGACCAGAGACTGCGGACATAGTACAGGAGATGACCAGAGACTGCGGACATAGTACAGGAGATGACCAGGACTGCGGACATAGTACAGGGGATGACCAGAGACTGCGGACATAGTATAGGAGATGACCAGAGACTGCGGATATAGTACAGGCGATGATCAGAGACTGCGGACATAGTACAGGGGATGACCAGAGACTGCTGAAATAGTACAGGGGATGACCAGAGACTGAGGACATGGTACAGGAGATGACCAGAGACTGCTGACACAGTGCAGGGGATGACCAGAGACTGAGAACATAGTACAGGGGATGACCAGAGACTGCGGACATAGTACAGGAGATGACCGGAGACTGCGGACATAGTACAGGGGATGACCAGAGACTGCGGACATAGTACAGGAGATGACCAGAGACTGCAGACATAGTACAGGAGATGACCAAAGACTGCGGACATAGTACAGGGATGACCAGAGACTGCTGAAATAGTACAGGGGATGACCAGAGACTGAGGACATGGTACAGGGGATGACCAGAGACTGCGGACATGGTACAGGAGATGACCAGAGACTGCGGACATAGAAGCAATAAACATTCAAGTTTCCATATAAATCATACTTATAACAGTATTTAGTAAATAAAATCTAAGTACTGTCTAAAGTCACTTTAGTTACTTTCTGAATTAGTTTACTTCTACTAGTGACTCCTTAGCACTCAGTGCCACTGTATTGCTTGCTGAAATTCTGCTTCTTTCTGTACAGGATGCTAGCTGGCACTTTAGTATACTCTTGGTTAAGAACATCAGTTAGTCCTAATTTTCTTAGACATTATTATTATTATTATTATTATTATACAGTATTTATAAAGTGCCAATAGTTCGCACAGCGCTGACATTCAGTTTAAGATATTTAAGCCATGATTGTGCCAAAGCTGACACCCCTCCCTCTCGCTCCCCACTCTGGAAAGGAAAATGTTAAATATTAGCAGTGGTTTGCTTTACGTCAAGCTTTATTCTACAATCAGGATCACTTTGAGTTTATATATATAGAGCATAAGCAATAAGAAGACTAAATAATATTAAGAGATAGCATTTTCATAAATATGTTGGCTATTAAGACTAGATCATAGAAAAATGATGTGTTGTGTAGACCTAGTTGATAAAGCATATATTTACAAAAGTGGAGGGTTACACTTACTAAGAATGTTTTATCTTTATTTCAAGGTACCTACTACTGTTTAATTGTCAGAATTATTGATGTTGTAACTATAGCAAAAAAATTTATGGAATGGTAAAATCCCCATGAAGTTTATTTTAGCTGCCTTTATCCTGTTGGATATTACAGTAGGAAGTGAGAAGAAATCTTTCCAAATGAGAGAATAAGCCCTTTTAATCCTAGTACACACAATCAGAAAACCATACAAAAAATACCACTTTCTAAGCGACTGTTTGATAATCTGATTGTTAGTACAAAGCTTTCATCAGGAATGATTAGAAGGCATGAGCATGAAATATTTCATGTACGATACCAGATTGTATGATTTTCATTTAGTTAGTATCGCTTTAATCCAAAAATACAATACATTACATTACTTCAGAATTTTTTTTCATACAAGAATTTTCATAACTTTAGTAACCTCTTCACTTTCAATATGAGACTAGCAAGCAAAAAAGTGGACAATCATTCATCCAATAGATATTCTCATCAGGTGTACAGAGCTTTAGACAGCTGCGACCCTCACTTTTTGTTCTGGTGACAACCAAAAATGTTGAATTTCCTATCACGTTCTGTTCTGGTGATAATAGTCACTAGGACAAACAGAGTAAATCCACGGGTAAAGCAGACAGGGGTTCTCAATGTTCTCTACTCTACCCAAAAAATGTCTACTAATGTGCATTACTTTAGTCACTTATAGGTATAACCCCAGGTGTAAGAAATATTCATTTGCAAGGCCGGATAACATAAGTTTGATTACATAATGTGTTCAAATGTATAGTTTAAATATTGAATAACAAAACTTTTTCCACATTTATATCTATTCAGTGGACCTTTTAAGTTATATTATAATCAAGATTTAAATTTAGAAAACAAGGGCTTCCACTTCTCTTAACCATTCCAACTTCAATTTTACCTTTGGGTTTTCATCTGTGTTCCATTATGGAGCATCCAGAAGGGATGCCCGGCAGCCATAATCAGCTTGAAATCAAGTGCATTAATATAGAAAGTGATGTTTTCTTTTGGTCTGAGAAACATAATTTGCAGAAGGTTCTTAACCTGGAACATAATGAGCAGGAGAGTTTGTCATACGTGAACTAGAAATAATGTGCAAGATTTTCCTTATTTCAGCATTGACAAGTATGTTCTCTACCTTACCCCCTCACAGTAACCAGCTCCATTTTCTTGAAGGCCTTCCTTTCTGCTGGCATTTTCCTCATTTATCAAAAGGGCAATGACGCAACTCAAATGCATTTTGCAGTGAAGTTGCACCATCCTGGTGCTAGGCTCCACTCAATAGCATCTGACATATAGGAGGAATATACATGGATCACTGCACACTCAGTGTTAAAAAATAATATTACTAGCAAAACGTAAATAGTTTTTGACATATAAGACATGCAAAGCCTCTACTACCAAAAAACTATGCACATCGTTCAGTTTCATCTATGTTAAAATTGAAATGTGCCATTTTTGGCAAACCTAGTTATTGAAACGCACCGGTCAATTTAAAACAAGCAATATAATATAAAAATGAAGTTTGAAAGGGAGGCATCTTGCATTTTTTGCAATTATTGAAATATGTAGCTTATTTAAGCAGTGTCCTTCCTTTACTAGTGATGAGGATATATGGGTACAGCAGAAGCTGCAATTCACGGCACTAGGTAGATGTCAAAAATTCACCTGGCATACACCTTGAATAAGTAAAAGAGTTATTTGGACCTAGCACACTCAGAACCCAGGCTCTATCCTAAAACCAGGGTGTCAGGAGCGGTGTTGACCCTTTCTTCATGGATCACGAACACAACCCCAACCTTGCTACAACCATTTGAGTTGTTAGCTGGTGTTGTGCCAGGGCCCTCTCATGGGAGTTGTGGTTTAGCTGCAAGCTATCCCCAGGCCACCCAACAGACACTTGTGGAGGTAGGTAGGTGCCTGTTGCACTGGAGAGGTGGCTGCACAGGGCAGGTATTTGGCTACTCAGTTGGCTAGGTGTACTGGAAGGAGACTCTATGAAGTGATATCAGGATGAACAGGTTTTAGACTGTAACAGTCTGTAGCAGAGCTGACTGGTAGCAGAGTGGCTATAACAGGACTGAATGGTCATAGGTGTAGCAGGCACACTGGTAGCAGACTGCAGTAGATTAATTGATAGTGACTGTAGCAGGCAGGCTAAAATTTAGATGGAGCGTGGGTGCACTGGCAGGTGGTATCATGACACAATGCTTGAGCAGGGACAGCATCTCCATCTCCATTTAAAAAGGCTTGAAAAAACATGATGCAGCTATGACACTTCAGGTAATACTCACACATGTCAGAGCCACCAGCACTAGATCATGGAGGGTAAGTGACTGTGACACTGTGTTTTCTGTCCACTACCCACTTTTAGAGATGAGCGAATCGAACCAGATTAAGTGGAATTCGATAAAAGTGTATCTGCAGAGCTACTCTAAGTGTATCTGCAGAATAGAGGAGCTCTGGCAGATACACTTTTTGCCGGCTTGGAAATTCTTATTTTCATCCTACTTCATCTTCTTCTTCTTCTCTTCATCCTCATCCTCATCCTCTTCTTCTTCTTCTGAGGATGAGGATGAAGAAAGAAGAAGAAGAAGAAGAAGAAGTAGGATGAAAATAAGAAGAATTCCAAGCCGGCAAAAAGTGTAGCTGCAGAGCTCCTCTATTCTGCAGATACACTTAGAGGAGCTCTGCAGATACACTTTTTGCCGGTTTGGAATTCTTCTTATTTTCATCCTACTTCTTCTTCTTCTTCTCCTCTTCATCCTCATCCTCAGAAGAAGAAGAAGAGGAGGAGGAATGAAGAAGAAGAAGAAGAAGTAGGATGAAAATAAGAAGAATTCCAAGCCGGCAAAAAGTGTATCTGCAGAGCTCCTCTGAAGTGTTCTGCAGATGTCAGAATAGAGGAGCTCTGCAGATACACTTTTTGCCGGCTTGGAATTCTTCTTATTTTCATCCTACTTCTTCTTCTTCTTCTGAAGAATTCCAAGCCGGCAAAAAGTGTATTGCAGAGCTCCTCTATTCTGCAGATACACTTAGAGGAGCTCTGCAGATACACACTTTTTGCCGGCTTGGAATTCTTCTTATTTTCATCCTACTTCTTCTTCTTCTTCTTCTTCTTCATCCTCATCCTCAGAAGAAGAAGAAGAGGATGAGGATGAGGATGAAGAAGAAGAAGAAGAAGAAGTAGGAGGATGAAAATAAGAAGAATTCCAAGCCGGCAAAAAGTGTATCTGCAGAGCTCCGCTAAGTGTATCTGCAGAGCTCGCTATTTCTGACAGTTCTGTGACATTCACACTCCATACAGCGGTTGAAACATTGTATCTATTTGTTTCCATTTATGGAAACAAATAGATACAATGTTTCAACCGCTGTATGGAGAGGAATGTCACAGAACTGTCAGAAATAGCCTATTTCTGACAGTTCTGACATGACATTCCATACAGCGGTTTCAAACCGCTGTATGGAGGGAATGTCACAGAACTGTCAGAAATAGCCTATTTCTGACAGTTCTGTGACATTCACTCCATACAGCGGTTGAAACATTGTATCTATTTGTTTCCATAAATGGAAACAAATAGATACAATGTTTCAACCGCTGTATGGAGGGAATGTCACAGAACTGTCAGAAATAGCGGAGCTCTGCAGATACACTTAGTGGAGCTCTGCAGATAGATACAGCGGTTGAAACATAGGCTATGTTTCAACCGCTGTATGGAGTGAATGTCAGAGAACTGTCAGAAATAGCCTATTTCTTTTCCTCTCCTTCTTCTCATCCTTCTTCTTCCTTCTCA